CAATGTATATGTTTCCTATTCTATGACCAACAAGCATAATCCGATTAGATGCAATGTCAATGACTTTACAACCATTAATTTCAAATAAGACATTGAATCATTTATCGCATAATTGACTAATACTCAATAGATTATGCTTTAATCCATTCACATATAAACATTTTTAATTGTATGGAAGAGGTATTACCTATTGTACCAATACCTTCAATGTGATCTTTTGAATGTCTCCAAAAGTCACTTCTCCTCCATTTTTGGCGTTAAGCTCAATGAACCGGCTTTTGTCTCCGGTCATGTGTCTTGAGCATCCACTATCAAGGTACCATGAATTTGAATTTGTTTCCCGTGCCTTGTAGCAATGCTCTTTTCCCTACAAACATAGATTAATTTTTGATTTTTTGTACCCAAATTTTTTTGGGTCCATATTCATTAGTTTCCAAAATCCTAGTCCCCTTAGGTATCATTTGTGTAGGATATTTTTATCTTTAGTAGTAATGAGTTCTTTAGGAACCCACATACTTCTAACGATTTTTCCATTAGAGGTTCTTTGGGGACCTCTATGATTGTAGTTTCTAAAACTTTTCTAACAAAGTTGGATTTGAATTTCCACCTTTTTCAAAATGTTTTGTTCCAACTTTATCAAAAGAAGTTTTAAGATCATCAATTTTCTTTTGATGATCATCATTGATCTTTGAAAGTAAATTTTACAAATCTAAATTTTTCTTTTCAAACTCTTCTAGTTTGATTTGCAAATCTTTGATTTTACTTTCAAGATCGTTGTGGTTTTGGATATGAGTTTGTTTTCATTTTTCAATTTTGAAACATCATTTTATATTTTAAAAATAATTTCATAATCCGAAGCCAACCCATTATATTCCTCTAATAACTCATCATAGGATAAATCATCAAAATCGGATGAGTTAGAGGTTACCTTAGAATCTTCCCCAATGCATCAAGCACAAGTTAGCTACTTCTTGTTCCTCTTCATCGGAACTTTCTTCATCGCTCCATGTAGCCACATAGCCCTTGTGCTTATTCTTTGATTGACCCTTTTTCTTCAATTATGGGCAATCATATTTGACATGCCCTGGCTTTTTGCATTCGTAGCAAATGATTGGGTCATTCTCTTTCGGTTCATTTCTGAGGCCTTCATTTCGTTTGAATTTTCTTCCTCGATAAGGTTTCATCATTTTTCTGAACCGTTTGGCAAACAATGCCATTTCCTCGTCATCGTCATCGTTATTCGAATCACTCTCATCTTTTGTGGATTTGAGAGCAACTCCAATATTTTTCTTCTTCTCCTTCTCCTTTGGTGTCTCGTCAATCTTGTCGAGGTCCACCTCATCTTCGAGCATCATTTCATGAGTGAGAAGTGACCCAATTAGCTCTTCAAGAGTTAAGGACGTTAAGTCCTTAGACTCGATGATTGCCGTTTTCTTTGATTGCCACGATTTTGGGAGGGAGTAGACTAACTTCCTCACAAGCTTTTCATTTGAAATGATCTCTCCATATGATTTGAGACCATTGACAATCGTTGAAAATCTATCCGTCATAGCTTTGATATCTTCATTTGGTTTCATCCTGAAATTTTCATAGTTATGCGTTAGAATACTAATTTTAGATTTCTTTACCTCATCGGTACCTTCATGAGTGACTTGAAGTTTGTCCCATATTTCTTTGGCGGTTGTACACGATGAAACTCTTCCGTATTCATCTGGTCCAAGAGCACAAAAAATGATATGGATGGCTTTGGAGTTGAGCTGGAACATTCTTGTCTCTCCTTCACTCCACAACCTTGGATGAGTGAGAGGTTTGATGTATCCTTCTTCTACAGCATTCCATGCTCCCATGTCACTTGCTTGAATGAAGTACATCATTATATTCTTACAATAGGCATAGTTAGCTCCATTGAAGAAAGGAGGCTTGTTGACGGGCATCGAGTCGAGACCAGAGTCGAAGTTTGAAGCGGAGGCCATTGATGACTTTGATTATCGATATAACTCTTCCCGAATCGACTCAAGAGGCGATTAAACCTTCAAATGAGTTAGGCTCTGATACCAATTGTTGAGTTAATCGATTGACTGAATCGGCCAAGAGGGGGTGAATTGGCAATAAAAATTTTGGTGGAAGCTTTTGCAGAAAATTGAAAGAAATTACACAGCGATTTAGAGTGGTTCGACTTTATCAACCAAAGTCTACGTCCACTACCTTAGCTATCCACACTAAGGATTTTCCAACAAATTCACTAATTTGTTCTTTCTTTTGAGGCCAAAGAGATAACCTTACAACTCCCTCAAGAATATACCCCAATTCTTGAGAACACTCTTTTCTCAAAGAGAAATACAAATTTGCAAACTTACAAGAAAAACCTCAAGAGGCAAATATGTTTGCACAATTCTAGAACAAAGAAAGAACACTCAAGAATAAATACAATTGAGCACAATAAGTGTTCTTGAAAGCAAAATGAATATTGAATGAAAAATAGGCTTGAAATGCTCAAACTTGAGGTTTGATGCTTTCTCTTTGATTCTCTCTTGATTCTAATTGCTTGATGTTTCTTGTTATTGATCAATGGCTTCTAAGCTTGCTTAAATACTCCTTGAATCAATTCTGAATGTTGGTGATAATTAGTGGAGTCAATAGAGCCGTTATTGTGTGAAAACAATTAATTTTTTTGGTGGGAGCGTCTCATGCATCGATGCATGACCATTATGCATCGGTGCATCAGTGTAAAATTTCAAATATTTTGACCGTTGGACTCCTAGTGCATCGGTGCACTAAGAGTGCATCGATGCATGAAGTGCATTCGATGTTTGAAAAATAGCCTGGTGCATCGATGCATGGATTGTGCATCGATGCATCAAATGCATTCGATGTTTTAATTAAATCAGAGTGCATCGATGCATGGAGAGTGCATCGGTGCATGGAGAGTGCATCGGTGCATGGAATGCATTCGATGTTTCAACTTATTCATTGATGCATCGATGCATGGTATTGATGCATCGGTGCATGCCTTTGAAAAATTGATTTAAGGCTTGATTTTGGTTCAAAATACTTTGTGAAAATTGTTTCAAAAATAGTTTAAGTACAAATCACAATTTTACACATTTAGTAAAAATTGATCTTCAAAGACTTGGAGTAATAATTTGATATTCGATAAATTGAATCGAATATAAATTGTAAAATCATTTGTAAAAATCTTAAAATTCATTTAACTTAATTTGTTATATCGAAATATCAAAAATGTTTTTAACAATTTGGTTGAAGCTGAAATTCATTCTTCAACCATGACAACCTCACACGCCACCCTTTACACTCTGGTGGTACGGGCGTTTTCCCAAGAAACAAGCTACAAAGTTGTGCCACATTATTAAACTCATGTGACATTACCACTGGCATCCCATTTGTTTGGACCCCGAGTTGCAATGCCACATCCTCCAGAGTTATCGTACATTCGCCACACGGCAAATGAAACGTGTGCGTTTCTGGTCTCCAACGCTCAATCAAGGCACTGATCAAACCTGGGACCAACTTGTCATCTCGCACAAATGTTACATACCAAAACTCAGCCTCCTGCAAGTTTTCTTCTATCAATCTGTGTGGCTTGGGCACTTTATGTAGCCGAAGACGAATGACTCGCTGCTCGTCCTCCTGCAATTAAATATTTCAAAAAATTTATCACAATCATAAAATAATATTCAAATATTTATTAATTATAATTCATTAAACAAATATTTTATTCACCATTATTCCCAAATGACTTGAAATATGTTCATTGTCAAGTCTCAGCAGTGGAATTTGATCAGCCATTGAAATGAATCTGTAAAAAAATTAAACAATAATATTTAAAAAATCATTTAATATAATCTAATGTTAAGTAACTAACTAACTAACTAATTTACAACCCAACAAAAAAATTTAATATAATAACTTATAATATAATAAACTTATAAAGTAACAAACTAAACTTTTTAAAATATAACTTAAACGTGAATTTTCTTTAAACAACTAATAAACTATTCTTTAATATAACTTAAACTAATAAACGATTTTTTAATTATAATTCACTACTAAAAAACTAATTAACTAAAAATTTTATATAATATAAATTCAACAAATCATATGGCAACTTAACTATTTAACTAACACAAACTAATTACATATTTTTATATATAACTAACTACTAACAAACTAACTAATTAAGTAAATTTTTTACCCTAACCCTAAACTAACTCTAACCCTAAACTAACAAACTAATAATTTAAAATAATAAACTAATTTAAATTAAATAAAATGAAAATTTACCTCGATGTTTGCTTGCCAGACTCCCTTTCTTCTTCTTGCTCTTATTCCTTTCCTTTCTCTCGACACTCTTCTCCATTTCTTTCTTATGCTTCCTTAATCCCATATCATATCCCCCTATATATTAAAGGGTCGGCTGCCTTGCACCAATAATTGAAGAATCACGAGTCGTTGATTCTCGTGGATTGCAGCAATAATTGCTGCATGAAGCAGCGAAAATTATGCTGCAATAATGCAACGAATAAAGGTGCATGGAGCAGCGGGAGAAGGCGAGCATGCAGTGGGGAGCAGGCGAGCATGCAGCGGGGAGTAGGGCCAAAGACAAGGTCGCGGGGCGTGCATGGCGACCTACCATGTCGCCTGGCGTGCATGGCGACCTCCTTGGTCGCCCGGAGTGCATGGCGACCTCCTTGGTCGCCCAGAGGGCATGGCGACCTATGTTTTGGGTTGTGCATGTCCCATGCAACGTTAATTCATGCGATGCAACGTTAATTCATGTGACGTTAATTCCTTTTTTGATCGTTTTGAAGCTGGCCAACCTGTGCAATTCGCCCTATTTGAGCAATTAATCTTGAGAGAACGTTATCTCGTGAAATAAAAAACTCGAGAGCATTATCTCGTGGAATCATCCGTGATTAAATCAACCATTTATGGTTCATCTCTTATTATGTAGACGTATGGTCAACTCGGGATGAACACTTGTTTGCTTAGTCAAATAAAAGAAGGATCGTACACAATAAAAACCACCTTGTAAAGATAATAGGAAGAGGTAATCAGACGAATCTGGAGTTGTGAACACTTATTTGTTCATCAATTACAAAGTTGGGCGACTGAAATGTTTGTGGTTGAATCAATTGTATTTGGCAGCAACTTCCTGGAGACATTTGCAGACCTCGTGTGGCTTGGAAAACATGGGCATATGATCTGTACCAGCTATGAATTTCACGTCAACTGTTGGACTATTTTCGATGTACCATTTCTGCAAGCTTGATTTTATCAGCAAATCATCTTCGCAAACTACATAAACCCGGTCGATCGATCCGAATTTTTCTTCTGATAGCAAAGATTCCTCAGACAAATCTTTGATGAACCACTTCCCTTGTCTCTGCAACGTTAACATTAATTCTATGTCCTATACAAAACATCAGAGGCATTAGCAGTTTAGCACCCACCAAAAAAACCACTTTGATTAACCATTTACAAGAAACAACCGACCTCTTTGGGTGAGAGTTGATACACCTTTGCCTCAATGAATTTTGGTCCAAATAAGGCACGAGTTGGGGGATTTTCAAACCCATCATCGAAGGTGTGCTGATAATCCATGATCGGCTCCTCCGATACCCTTTTCAGGCACTAACTTCCTCCAACATTCGGCCAAGCTTAAAATCGAAACAAAAAATGATACTAACATGAAAAAATATACAAAATGGTGATGACTTTTTTTTACCTCGGCTACTGCAGTTGCAATAGGAGAACGATGGGTGGGAATAAAAGCTGTGATATAAACAGCAGCCAGTACTTTCATAGGGAAGCTTTCCATGGCTAAAGACATGCTAACCCCACCAAAACTATGACCCACTAATATTACCTTCTCCTCTTGAGGCAAAGAAGCCATGAATTCCATCAGTGGCTGCGCATAATCCCACACGGAATCCAGCTCGCTGATCTGCTTCGTGTTGATGCCACATGCACCGAGATCCAACGGAGTGGCACGATGACCGGCTGATTTGAGCAGCGAGACAATCTTATACCAGCACCAAGCCCCATGAGACATACCATGGATTAGAACAAAGTGTGCCATTGTCTTCTTCTTCGTTTGATTAGTTTGTAGTTTGCTGCAAAGGACTTTATTTAACCGCAAGTCAAACCTGTTAACACCATGAGATTGTTGGATTTTTTTTTAAGGTAAAGTACACAAATAGTCCCTTGATTATAGGATATTTTTTTTGAGTCCCTCAACTATTAGAAGTTACAAAATGGTCACCCGACTATTCATTATATTCCAAAATCGTCTTTTTTCGTTAAAAAATTAATGGTAGTTTGAGCTGGACATTAACATGCTGACTAAGATATGATAAAATCTAATCTCATAGTTTCAAACGACTATCATATCTCAATCAACATGTTAACGTCAAGCTCAAAAGACTGTTATTTTTTAAGGATTAAATGTCACTTTTGCCCCTGTAGTAGACTCAATTTATCATTTTCGTCCCTATCGTATTTTTGCATCAATTTAGCTCTCAAAGTTGTTTTATTGCATCATTCTATACCCTACCCCTAACTTAAAACCATAAATTGATAACCTTAATTTCTAGCTTAAAATCCTCAATTTAAGGTTCTAAGTGATGGGTAAGGTATAGAATGATGCAATTGAGCAACTCTGAGGGCTATATTGATGCGAAAATACGATACGAGTAGAAAATGATAAATTAAGTCTACTACAGGGGTAAAAGTTACCCTTTCGCCATTTTTTAATAAAAAAAAGAACTCAACAAAGTAACTCTATATAGTTGGGAGATTATTTTATAACTTTTAATAATCGGGGTACTCAACGAAGTAGTATGCCATAATTGGGGACAATTTGTGTACTTTATCCATTTTTTATTAATTATGATAGTCAAGTCCGCGGTATTTTTTAATTAAGTGTCAACTATGGTTAGTTTGGTTGTTAAGCACTCATTACAAACGGCTTATATACAATTCTTTTAAACAAAAAAACTAATTAATAACGTAATTTTATAAAATAAATTTAATAACATTTTAGGTTAAAAATAAAAATATTATGTCTTATATAATAAATTATGTAAATTGCATAACTATTTCAATTATCGTCAAGATATTTTCATTGTAATCGAAATTATTAATAATTGTATGACCTTTTTTTAATAAACCTATAATATTTAAGTTAAAAAATTTAACATTCTTTATTATAATTGAAATTATTATTAATTATATAAAATTTTTAAATTAAACAAAATAACATTTTAAATTAAAATTTACCTTCAAACAACAATTATTCATGAAAGCAACTAAAACTCCGTTTTAGTTTGATGTCTGTTTTGATTTAGCATTTCTCATGTCTTTGGGACTAGGTTGTTTGGTTTCTGTATTTTAGAGTAGAAGAAATGTCTGATTGCCGGACATTTATATTTTTCTCATGTCATAATTCAAGCTCTTGGAGCTAATAATACAGTAATCCAATGGATCGCGTAATTTCATCTAATGTTTCTAAGATATATAAATGAAAAAACAATTTTGATCCTCTTTTCTGTCACCTGCATTTCTCCGCAGTCCGCACTCAAACTCTCATGCCCGGAAAACGATCAGTTTAATCGAACTATGGGAGACGTCCGACAGCTTTGCCGCAGAGTAGGACGTTAGAGGGAATGTCATATTCGTTAGCAAGGCTGCGGACTGGATTCCAGACTCTCAGGTAAAATTGTTGTCCGAGATATTGCCTGTCCCACAATGTAGACCTCACATTCCACATACCTTGGTTGTCCAAGGAGACGAAAACTGCGGTCCAAGAATTTGGATAAACCTGCCGAAAAACAATGAAATCAATATGAAGGCATGACCTCATAGCGGTGATCGATAAACCGGAAATGGTTCGTATTTGATACTTGATGTGGGTTACCTGAGTAGTGTCTCGTAAGAGCATCAACTAGATTGTAGCTCTTTCTACTGTCTGGCGACCACTGCCCGGAGCCAAAACTACGTATATCGTAATATGAACAATTAGAACCTATACAGCAATGCGAACAATCGAAGAAACAAACAAAGCGCGCATTGTAACTCACCCAGCGACCCAAAAATCATAACCATCAAGATGCCAAGCTTGTATGGTGTTTTCGTTGTTCTGAAAGACGACTTCGATTAAATCATGGAGAGAAGTTGGCATAACAGAGGTAGCAACAGTTGCAGCACGACCTGAAGGAACTGCACTTATGGAATTCGTGCTAAAATCTCCAGGAATGTTAAAATGATCGGCAAGATTCAAAGGTGTATCGGGATTTATATAGGAGACGCCATTCACTGCATAACGCAACTTTCCGTTTATTGAAGATGCCGAGTTGGCCAAGACAAAAGTCTTAGTAGGTGTTATCTGCCCATAATGGAATGAACCCTGAGGATTATGCCTGGCTGCATTGGACGTCAAGTTCCACCTTCAAGAAAATGAAGGAAAACGAATCAAATAAGATTTTCTTTTTTAGTCTAAACTGATTTGAAGAATGAATCAAGATCTCCATTGATTAGTACCTGTACGTTCTCGCCTGCTCCATTGACCAATCAAATTGGTTTACAGGAGCAGCTGGAATCGGTCCGGAAACTAGGGCATTCGAGTTCGAGTAGTGCAACACTCCAGTTGCAGTGAGAACAGTTTCTGTAAATCGTGTGGATGCTACAATGTAGTAGTCCTTTGGAGGCTGGTCCAAGGTCACTAAGATGGTTACGGATTGACCAACATGTATATCGAGATAATCATATAAGTTCTGAATTACATGAGATCCTCCGACCTCAACTAGCTTCATTTTATGACCCTGGATCCTAAAATTGAGTGAGGTAGATAATCCAACATTTGAGATCCTGAACATGTAAGTTTTGCCTGAAACACCAGAATTTCATAGCACGGATTAATAATACGTTATGAAACAAGAGACGAAACTCCATTGACGATAAAACGAAGATGAGACCACATGACTTAAAAGTCACTGATGACCTTGATCCCCAGTAAAGGTTGATTGAGTTTGGCCATTTATAAGGACTCCATCAGGGAAGGGCAGAGGGTTGCCTGCGTCCAAAGATTGCTGCATTATCTGCAAACCAGAAAGCAATATATATGATGGGTGAATTTTGCATAGCAGGAATCTATACAGAGAAGCGTAAGAATGTAAATTATTCATAAAAACAACCCTTTCCGAGAAAAAATGCCACTTTCAGGAGTTTTATTTTTGTTCGCATTCTTGTAAACACAGAAACCTGTTAGTATTCATATGAAACAGCCATTTAACTAACTAGTTAGCTTCCAGCTTTTCATGCAATTTTAACATTATGATCTCAACTATAAAATGCAGCACAAAGATTTGTCTAAATGCAAATGAAGAACAAATTATTAGTTTCTTGGCAAATCAAGAAAACATGCTTTAACCGGCTATCAGATCTTTAAAGAGAGTTTGAAAAGCTAGTTAAAACATATTTTCATGTCGAACACTTACACTTGACTTCAACTAACATAGATGTAGAAAACTGGCTACTGAGATTCTCATATAGTATAACATACATTTGGCATTGCAAAAAGAAAAAAATAAGGGGTTGGTAACTTAATTGTGAAGACAGAGACTAACCTTATGGTTGGTCTTGAACCAGTCACCAACAAGTAAAGTGAAATCTCCATCAGGGTTAGCATAAGGGATAGGGATCACACTTCTATGTATTATATTGAGTGCTCCGAATCCCCCGGCAGCTCTATGCATCAATGTTGATGGGAAATAATTGTAGGATCCAATCTGATCCTTGGCCTGGAATTTGTATGTATAGTTTGAGTTTGGAGGGATAGGGCAATTGGTTCCCAATACTCCATCCTGCCATGAATTCTTCCTTTGCTTCACCCCATTCCTGTTGTGATTTCCCTCATGAATCAGCAAGGGAAAAAAAACAATGGCCAAATTTAAAGTAAAACACAAATCTTGATTTTCCCAGATTTATGAATCAGCAAGAAACTTAAGAACTCAATGAAAAGAAGCAACGCCTTACCATGTCAACAAGAAAGGCTGGTCAAGCTTGTTAATGAGATTCAAGATAATGTTATTATTAGTCACTACATCAAGCCCTGGTCCAGGGAACTGATCATTGATAAGTATAACCTTACACAAGAATCACAAGAACAAAATATCAGAACTTTAGAAACCCAGAAATCAAAAGCACATTGTTTTCAACACTAATAATAATAATAACCAATCTCAGACCAACCTGCTGGGGAACTCCAAGGATAGAACGAGTACCATAAGTAACAGTCCAAGTGAAAAACAAGTAAGGGTCTTCGGCATTCACTAAGCACACACTAAAAACAGCCAAAACAACAAAAACCAGATGGAGAATCACTGATTTCCCCATTTTTTTTCTCTTTTTGTACCCTGAAATTAAATAACTGTTAGTTAAGCAAAACTACAAACACCCAAAGATATCGCCATTGTTGGCTGAAAGAGAGAAACCTACCTAGTTAAGAAACTCCCCTGGAAAGTGAGCTACTTTCAAGTCACGATTCAAAGAATAAATGTAGCTAAACACCAGATCTTGGTCGAGTGGATTGGCGGTGGACTATTTAAAGTAAAGTACCGAGCTTGCTTTTAAACTAATAATCGGCGCAACGCGTCTCCACGTTATGATAATTGCTTCCAGCTTATGTTTATTTTCACCTTTTTTTTATCGCTTTTTCTTCTTCTTTATTCTTTAGCAAGTATTAGAATCGGTTGGGGAAGAAGATAGTTTGGATGTTGATCACTTGTACTTGTTCTTCCCATTTATTATTTTACTGGAAACTGGTAATCCAATCAACTTCCTTCTATCACAACATATGTTATGTTCATTATTAATGAAAATGGAATCTTGCTTTGAATTAATTTGTAGAAAAACAGTTCATGAGGGAATCTTTCTAACCTAGCCTTTTACGCATATATTAAAAAATTAGAGGAAAAAAAAAACAATGGCATTGGATAATAATGGTTGGTTGCATGAATTATAAATACATATCATCAACCTCACATGCATACCTAAACCAAAGTGGTATTTCTATTTCATAATTTTTCAGCTTTGCATCTCCAAATTTAACAAGATTTACTCATTCATATGGATACTAAATACGAATCAGCAAAGAAATGAGCAACCTTTGGTCAAAAAACAAAACAAAATCATGGGAAAAATCACTCTTGTCTGCAAATGGAAATTAGTTATTATTATGAGGGGGAGAATTTGGGCATTGGGAACCGAGCACCGACGCACCGCCCGATCAATGGGTCATGGGTTGTTTGGTTCCTTGGATCCTCGATCCATGTTATCTTGAAGAGCGGATTGATCCAATACCAAAAGCGAAAATCGAAACGCTACATGTTATTGCTATAATGTAAACGAAATTCGTATCACTTCATTTAGTAGGAATAAAATTCATTTTATTACGACCAAAGCCGATTGATAAAGGAGGTGGAGTTACGGAAATGTTGCGATTTGCGAAGAGCGGTAGTGTGAACGGCAACAAGGTTGATCAACAATTTTGAAACAAAAAGAAAAAAGGGGCATCTCTACAATAAGCCCCTAAGCTTTCACAATTTTAAAAGTAAACACATATTCTCAAAAAGTATTAATAAATTATTAATTTTTTCAAATTAAAAGGAGAACCATATTGATAAAAAAATTAATATTGAGAATTTATTCGATTATTTCAAATTATGATCAATTTAATAGAATATGTAAATTGCTCAGATTAAAACTATTATTATACCATGTTAAATCATAATTTACGATAAGTAAACAATCAAACCTAACGGTCGATGATTAAACCTAAAACGAGATATAACATTAACTATGATTTTTTTAATATATATATATATATGATTGGAGTGGCCAAAATAAAAATATAAATGATCCAATAAGTAGTTTATCAAGAATTATCTTCCAAAAAGTCCACGTTAACGGTTTTATTTAACTCCCATAATGCGGAAAAGGATGAATTATACAAAGAGAAAATAACCTCAGTGACCAAAAATTTCATATAATATACGATTTTAACCAATTTTTTCCGGATTTGCCAAAATGACCAACAAAATCGCAATGCGATCGCTAATTCGCAACGCGATCTCCATTATCGCAAATTCGCGTTGTATTTTCGCAATGCGATAGTTGAAAATCGCGTTGCGATGGTCTACAATATCGTTGCGATTTTCCCAATTCGCAATGCGAATAAGTAAATCGCAACGCAAATTGGGAAAATCGCAATGCGATACTTACTATCGCAATGCGATAATACAAAATCGCAACGAGATACTTACTTTCGCAACGCGATACTGACTTTCGCAACGCGATTTACATAATCGCAATGCGATTTTCAAAGCGCCATTAGTATCCTGGCCAAGTATTGGCAGTATTGGCAGTATTGGCAGCAATCGAATGAATTTAATAAGAAATCTAAGTGAAATGGTTAATCTATTATTGAAATTACCAGTAAACTTATCATCAATCTCAATATGAAAAACCTAAAATAATGCAAAAATTTCAAAATAAAAATAAAAAAAACTAACCCTCGGAGGTTGATTTTCCATTTCTGAATGATTGTGAGGGATTTTTGAATGTGAATGGTTGTGAGGGATTTCGCCGGCGATGGGGACGGAAATCTTCGGAGATGGGTACGGATTTCGCCGTAGAGAGTGAGAGATGGAGATGGGACTGAGTGTTATGTTTTTGGGTTTGAGGTTATGAGTTGCGATTACTGTGGACGGTTCATTTTCCGATTTATTAAGAAAAAATACGTGTTTGGAATTTGAAAAAAAAAATACGCGTTAATACGAATGGCGCTATGTAAATCGCGTTGCGAAAGTCAGTATCGCGTTGCGAAAGTAAGTATCTCGTTACGATTTTGTATTATCGCATTGCGATAGTAAGTATCGCATTGCGATTTTCCCAATTCGCGTTGCGATTTACTTATTCGCATTGCGATTTTCCCAATTCGCGTTGCGATTTACTTATTCGCATCGCGAATTGGGAAAATCGCAACGATACTGTAGACCGTCGCAACGCGATTTTCAACTATAGCATTGCGAAAATGCAACGCGAATTTGCGATAATGGAGATCGCGTTGCGAATTAGCGATCGCATTGCGATTTTGTTGGTCATTTTGGCAAATCCGGAAAAAGTTGGTTAAAATCGTATATTATATGGGATTTTTGGTCACTGAGGTTATTTTCTCTTATACAAATGGTCATGATCAGAGTGTTGTTTTGTTGAGTCTCCAGACTATTAAAAATTATAAAATAGTTTTTCGATTATAGGATGATTCTTTTTTGAGTCCTCCAACTATTAAAAGTTACAAAATTGTCACTTGACTATTCATATATTACAAACTCGTTATTTTCTGTTAAAAATTGGAAGTTGTCTTGCCTATAAATTAACATATTGGTTTGGATATGATAAAAGCTTATATCATAATTATTTGAGTTGTATTTTGTAGATCGACTCTTTGTTTACATTAAATCGTCCAGCAAGTATTTGAAACATTATGTCGTAAAGCCCATGTTTGCAAGCAATGGTCGTACCACTAGATAATATTAAAATATGATTTTATTACATCTCATTTAGAATGTGGGGAAATCATTTATTAACTTTACCCTTAAATAAACTTGTGTCTTTGACACATGTCAATTGTTAATGTAAGGAATCACGAAAAAGAAATTCAAAATGAAAAAGAGAAGGCAACGAACTCGTTCTATTAACATTTTATCACGATTCCTTAAGGTGCGTTTGGTTTACGGAATGTAAGATTGTCAGTGAAAATGTAAAATTACGAGTGGAAATGTAAGATTACCAGGGAATATGATTACTGAGAATATTGTATTTTGTGTTTGGTTGGTTTAACAGGAATGTAAGATTACCGTGTTTGGTTAAAGGAATAAAAGATTATTAGAATGTATATTTAACCAAATTATCCTTATTATATATTTGTTTTTTTAATAAGTTAGAAAATATTTATATATTTTCTTTAAAAAATTTAAATTCATAAAATTTATATATATATATATATATATATATATATATATATATGCCATGGCCAAACACGATGACATAATGTATACTTTCATACATGTCATTTTTTCTTCAAAATATGCCATGCCGATTTAATTTTAGAGTAATTATAATTTTGATTATATAATGTTGTTGACATTAGGAATGATAACAAGACATAATGTATTTTTGATAGTCTCAAATTCATTTTTGATCCTATCCTTTCTAAAATAAACTTCTAATTCATTTTATTTTTCTATATAAAAAAAAACTCTCTAACCCTATATGATTAGGTTGAGATTCATCCGATTCGAATAATTTTTTACCCGCTGAGTATAATTGGTAATAAATTGTTTTTTAGGCCAGATTCCTTGTATAAGAAAAAAAAATCTAAAACACTTGCCATACCAAATATAATCATATTTCGTGTGAATAAGCTCAATTAAGAATATTGTTATAACAATTTAAAAATTATACATTCGAACACGCTTTAAGCGCGTTTAAATGTATAATTTAATAAGTTTTAAAACATAGATTAAAATCAAATTTAAAAAAAGTTATTCATAATTTGATTTAATTTGACCGAAAAAAGTCTAATTCAAATAGTAGGTCAACTATTTTTTATTTTATTTTTATGTTATTTTTTCTTTAATGTTATAAAAATTACGTCAGTCGTCGAACCAATACACTATCAATTCTTCATTTTACCAATTAAACTATTAATTCAAAAATGATTAAATAAAATTTCAAAAATATAATAAAAAGTTATTAGAAAATCTCAAAATTTGATTTAATCCATTAAATTATTATTTTTTTAATTATTCATAATGACTCATTATTTTTAATTTTACCTCTTCTTAATTTTCAATTAAACTCGATATAATTTTGACGAACATATATTTTTACTTTATCCAATCATACATACCCAAAAATATGTACACATTAATCTCATCTGAAGGGTCCAATAGGTTAAATAAAAAAAATTGAATAGAAAAATTAAAATGACAGTTTTTCCAATATTCCCCTGCGCGTGGTCTGCACGTAATATAAAAATGTTTTTGATCCAATACATGACGAGTTACTTCACAGAGTTACCGGATCATTATATAAACTAATGAAAAATTATGCGACAACCCGTTCGAGAAACTGGCAGCGAATCTTGAATATTAGAGAAAAGACAATGGAGTTGAGCTTGGGTTTGAGTTCTGTCTATGTTCCAAAAACCATATCCGAGTTTGTCGAAGAAGTTTCCAAGATAGAAGATGGGTTCCAGAGATCATCGAAGATCAGTGATTTTGTTCAAAGATTGGAAGGCGAGATGAAGAAAATCGATGGTTTTAAACGTGAACTTCCCCTTTGCATGCTTCTCTTGAAAGATGGTATTTTTTTAACCTTTTTATATACCTTTTTAATCATTTTTTCCATTTTTTGTTGGATTTAATTTGATTTTTCTTGGGGTTTTAGGGATTGAGAGATTGAAGGTTGAAGAAATGCAGTGTAAAGGAATGGATGAAGGGCTGCCATCGGAGAAAAATGATGGCGGTGACAAGAAAAACTGTCCGAGTTTACTTCAACTCAGTAACTCTGACTTCGACAACGCTGATCACAAGAAGAAGAAACCAAACATAATTCCAGAACTGCTTCTTATGAATCCCGGTTTTGATTTGGCTAATGCTAATCCAATCGTGAAGAGCAATGGCGGCTGCACAATTGCTTCTAGCTCTTCCATAACACCTGAAAACCCCCTATTTAATATTCAGACAAGTTCACAACAGCAGCAGAATTCGAGGAAACCCAGGCAATATTGGTCGCCCGACCTTCATAGACGATTTGTCTTGGCACTTGAGGAGCTTGGAGGTTCTCAAGGTTAGATTTTTCAATTTTAATTGAAAGAGCGAAGCTTTTAGATCAGAATTTCATGGAATTATGTCTTTGTTTCACAGCGGCAACGCCTAAGCAGATTAAACAACTTATGCGAGTTGATGGTCTCACTAATGATGAAGTGAAAAGCCATTTGCAGGTTAGTGTTTTGGCTTGTGTTATCCTCTCATCTCTTTTTTGATTGCTGATTTTATTTGTGAATTTTGCAGAAACACAGGCTTCATGTCCGAAAACTTGAGGGTTCTGCTGCACTAAAACAGGGCATTGAGCTCATGCAATCGCAATCTGATTCTCCACAAGGTCCCCTCACAAGTTCCGACGATGATAGTATGAATGCTGAAAATAATGAAAAGTCAGATGGCCATATTGAGGAAGTGGGGAGGATAGATTGAACGTGTTACCAATGGATGATAATTTCTGAGAATAATTTAACTACAGTTAGTGGATTAAGTATCAGTTTTGGGTTTTAGGTGTTTGTTTTACAGTATTTTGTTATGATTCTACATAATCATTTTGGGTATTAATTTCGATATTTTCATCCTTTCAACTTCTTTTTTGCTATTAACATGAGACTTAATCCTTTTAATTTATGCAATTATCCATGAGAGAGAGAAACTCAATATAAAAATAAAAATTTAAATTATGGAATATATCTTATTTTAGTGTTTAAATGTTTCTTTTCCTTCTTGTCAAACTAGGTGATTAACGCTTTATTTCATTTTTATTTTCAAGTTTCTGTTAATATTTTTTGTAACATATGATATTCAGTCATCTTCTTTCTTTTTCTTTTTTTATTCTTTAGGGAAATAAAAAACATAAAGAAGTGAATTCAAAAATTGATTATTTTTTGGAAAAATTAAACAATCTTAAATTTCAAGCATTTTCATTTTGAAGATCCCTCTATTCTCCATATATTTATACTTTTAATTTTATATTTTTACAATTGAGAAATCCCAAATCTTAAAATTTTGTCTAAAAATATTTCGATTATAAAAACTCATTTATATGAATATAAAATCATGATCTCTTGGAGAAGATTGCTAAAACCGAAGGACGTTACTATGAATTTGGATTTCTTATGTCTAAATCTCACTTTTGAAAAAAAAAATGAGATGTTGTTAGGCAGAGGAGGTATATGGTTGTGTCGCATAAATTGATATAACATTCATCTCATAATTCAAAAGATATATTTATCTTTTGGATAACAAATTTAAATAGATTGTCTATAAAGAACATATTACTCTCTTTTGGAGGTAATGCGGATGTTGGTTGTGTGTTTCACTGTTTTGTGATAGTAAGTAGGAGTCCATAGATTATATCTTTTTTGATTGCCCTTTTTCCAAAATTACATGGTATGTTGTGCTACATGCATGTCATTTACAGCGAGGAGTGAGGGGCTGGATTTGAGAGCTTGCATGGGCAGTTAATCGACTTAAGGGCAAGTCCTTTCTTGTGATTGTACATTGAATTCTTTTATTTATCAAGTGTGGAGGAAGAAAAATCTATAAATTTTTTAACAAAAAATTTTGCTGAAAACTGCTATTATCCAATGTATTAAGGAGGCTATAAGATGTAGAGTACAAGATTTGTACACCTCTCTCTGCTTATTATCAAGTCTCTGCTTTTTAGCACGTATCTTCCTTTTGGCACGTCCTTTCTAAGTATCTTAGTGTTCTCTCTTTACAAGTCTTCAATGGCTGACGTAGTGAACAACCTGACCATTCTAGCAATTGATGACGAGGAAGAAGAAATTTTGCAGGTCGAGGAGAAATTTTGCTTCGTTGGAACTTTTCTGACCAATAGTGTTTTGAGTCGATGAGATCGACATTATCAAGTGTGTAGCGCCCCATTGGGGGTATTTCAATCTCGGATCTAGGAGATGGTAGATTCTTTTTCCGACTTTACCATGTCTCGGATGTGGATAGAATTGCAGATGGTGGGCCTTGAAATTTTAACGGTCATCTCCTCATACTTCATAGACTACAGGAAGGAGAGGATCCATCTATAGTCCCGTTATATTTTCTGAATATATGGGCTCAAGTTCATGATTTTCCCTTTGGATTTATGTCTGAACCAGTAGCCAAATCATTGGGAAATTTCATTGGAGTGTTCCTCGGGTATGATACAAAAAGCAATTTCTCTCGGATATAAACGAATCATGAGGATTAGGGTCCGGTTTGTTTCTCGTCTATCGTTGAAAATAAAGAAGAAAGTTGCAGAACAGAATGGAAATTAGGTATTTGTTCGGTTTCAATATGAACGAATCAAATTGCTTTGTTTCTTATGCGGCAAACTTGGCCATGGGGAGGGTCTTTGTCCTGTTCGTCTAACACTGGATCCAAAGGATATAGTTTTTCAATTGGACATCTCTCTCAGGGATACTGGTCAGAAACCAATTCCGACAAACAAATGGCTACGCGGGGATCTGGGTTTCATGCCCCCTAATTTTTGGGATTCTAATGGAGGACAATAGGAAAGAATAAGGCAGCAAATTCCTCAATTTGTGGACCCCAAAATGCACGGGAGGCACAAGGAAATTTCCAATTTTCAAAGTCAACAGGCTTTTTAGATAGTAACCCAATTGATAATATGGACATCCAAATGGGCTTTAATGAAGAGAAAAACCCAATTGATCAACCAGATGGAAAAAAAGAGTTGAGAGTGCAACTGCCAGAGCATTAGAAGTTTCTAATAGAATGGATTCGACTGATGCTTTAAGGGAATCTTCGGGTGTCCCGCCATCATCTTCATCGGCCGGCCTGAATGTGCAGGCCTTCCTTTTACAATGAAACTTTTAAGTTGGAATGTCTGAGGTTTGGGGAAGTCTCGGGCAAAGCGACGTTCCGGCACACACTGAGAGATGTGTACCCGTTTAATTTTTCTAATGGAAACAAAATTGCAGACTACTGAGATGGTGAAGTTTCGAAGGAGTTGTGGTTTTGTGAACGATTTTGAAGTTGGTTCTAGAAGGCGCAGTGAGGGTCTATGTCTTGCTTGGTTCTAGGATTGTGATGTTACACTTAGATCCTATTCTGATAAACATATTGATGTGAACTTTTCTATGGACTCGTGGGAAAATGTGGCGTTGCACTGGTTTCTATGGCGAGCCTGAAGAACAGTGTCGGATTTTATCATGGAATTTGTTGAGACAACTTAATGATACTCCTAATAATCCCTGGATAGTCATCGGGGATTTCAATGAAATTCTCTTTTCTGTTGAGAAGTCTGGTGGTCGTATTCGCAATCGACGACAAATGGATGAGTTTCGACAGGCCTTAGATGATTGTAATCATATTGATCTTGGCTATACAGGCAGATGGTACACTTGGGAGAAGGATAATTTTGCAAGCACAAATATCCGAGAGAGACTCGATAGAGGGGTAGCTAACGAAAATTGGTGGGATACTTTTCCCCATTTCACTTTAACTCATGAGCTGCACTCCATGTCTGATGTCCTCTTTTGCTTAATACGAGAATTCTTCATGAAGAAAGGCGAAAATGGCATTTCAAATTCGAAGCGGCATAGTTGGTTGAAGACTCGTGTGAGCTTGAAATTAGACGGCTCTGGAATTATTCGGTTGGTTTAATTCCAAAACATTTGAGAACAGTTAGTACAGGCCTTGATTCATGGTTTCGGAAACTACGGTCTGCTAGGAAAGTTACAACTAAGGACTTGCATAGGAGACTAGAAACTCTAATAGAAATGGCCTCTACTGCTTACCAATGACTAATCCATAAATTTAAGAGTAAGAGTTTAAAATTTCAATTTTCTTTTTTTAAAAATAATGAGTATACAAATTTTGTAATTTTTTTCTTTTTTTTTTTACACATTAAGTTAAATTTAACCATTTTTTTAAAATAATGGGAGCTTAGTGTATCCGTCACTGCTGCTGACATTTTGGGTGAGCAAGGCATACGACAGGGGTGGAATGATATTTCGTGCTCACTGTTATGGAAAAAATGGGCTTCAATGCTGGTTGGATTTCAATAATCGCTCGGTGCCTTTCTACAGTTTCCTATTCTGTGGTCCTTAATGGTGAAATTGGTCACCGTTTTCAACCCTCGCGGGGGATTCGGCGGGGCAATCCTCTGATCCCGTGTCTTTCTTTTTTGCAGTGAAGGTCTTTCTACCATTTTGCTGGGCTGCCCATAATGACCATTTGAGTGGCTTTCGACTCAACTGTTATGCTCCTAAGGTTAACATATATGGTAGGACGTGAAAAAAGAAGCGTTTCGAGGATTGTTAATTGGATCCCACCTGCCGAGAATTTGTTGAAAGTACATTTTGATACAAAGTTCTGTTCTTCAGAAAAGGAATCATGGTCAGGCATCGTGGTTCGAAATTCCGAGGGAGATGTAATGGGTGCATGTGGAAGGAAGGCTTACAATGTGAACTCGTCTTTCGTGGCCGAAGCATGGGCGGCCCTTCACGCTGTTGAGTTTGCCGCCAATTTGGGTCTTAGTTCTATTATCCTAGAAGGAGACTGTCATTCAGTACTCAAGAAGCTACAATCTAAAAGCTAAGATTCTTCAGTTATTAGTGCACTTATATGGGAATCAAAGGAAATTGCAAAATCCCTCAATGCATGTCATTTCCGATGGTCTCCAAGAGCAGGTAATCAGCTGGCCCACGAGTTGGCGCGAGATATCTCGAATGGGGTGTATGAACGCTACTGGGTAGAAGAAACTCCTCCAAAAGTAGCACGATGGGTGGCTTCAGATAAAAGAGGGTTTGAACCTCCCTAATTTTTCCAGAATTTGTTTTGGTGATAAGGCTCTATCTTTCTGGAATCACTTCTTCTCCACGATCTTCTTCTATTTTTTACTTGGTATGAAGCTTTTGGATAGGAGAAGTTTTTTTAACCGGTTGCCATTTTAGTTTACTGCGTTTTTAAGTTGTCTTTATTATTTTTGCTTTTAAGACTACTTTATGTTATTTGTCTTTTAGGATTGAATAAAGGCAACCTGGAAATTTCTAGTAAAAAAAAAGAATTAATTATGTCGATAAAATTCTTTATATAGAATTGAATCTTGTGATTAGTTTTATTGTTGCATAGGAAGTGAGATGATTGTATGAATTTTATTGTTTCTTGATATATATATATTTAAAATTATGATTCTAGCTCTCAAAAATGGTTTTTCGTAATACAAATGATCTCTCGATTATATGATATTGTTTTGTTGAGTTTTCGATTATTAAAAATTATAAAATGATCACTTAATTATAAGATGTTTTGTTGAGTCATCCGACTATTAAAAGTTACAAAATTATCACTCGACTATCCATATGTTTCAAACTTTTCATTTTTTATTAAAAAACGAGCAGTTTTTTGAGCTGGACATTAACCTATTGATTGAGATATGATAAAATCTTATCCTATAACCATTTTAGATGTATTTTATGTATTGACTCGCCGTTTACATTATACTGTCGAGTTAGTACTTGAAAGATTGTACTATTGAGTCAGTGCTTGAAAGTAATGACAGTCCCGGTATGCATTATTAAAATATGATTTTATCATATCTTAGTCAACATGTTAATGTCTAACTCAGATAACTGTCAATTTTTCAACGGAAAAAGACAATTTTAAAACATATAAATAGTCGGATAATCATTTTTGTAACATTTAATAGTCAGAAGACTCAACAAAACAACATCCTATAATTAAAGGGTCATTTTGTAACTTTTAATAGTCCTCAACAAAGTATCATCTTATAATCGGGGATCATTTATGTACTTTACTCAAAAACTTATAAGATTTAGGTAACTTATCAATTGAATATAATGATATTTTTTTTACAGATAATTTAAAAATAATTATAGAATAAAACATTAAATAATTATTTTAATTATAAAATAAAATAAAAATTTATAATTTAAACATTTATTTCTCTATTAATACTCTATATTTTTTTTATCAAATTCTGACAATTTTAGGTCCTTCCAACATCAATAAACATAAACCAATCAATTTGGTTGAGCTTTGTATATGTTCTTTGCGTGAAAAAGGCTGAACTTTATTTTTTATTCTTAAACGATCGAATCAATGAAGAGAATAAGATAAAATATCAAATGGGCTATATTTGATTATATGTGGCATATAAGCTCCCCATGTTATATGGGTTAGCTGTCAAGACTCGGATTTTTTTAAAAAAAATAATTATTTAATCTCGAACTTATTAAACGGTCTTGATAATAAAAGAATATATTTTTTTTAAAAATTTTGAATTTAAATAATTACACCTGCAAAATGTGAGATAACAAGATTCTTGCAAACCACTAACAAAAAAAAGTGATTATACTCCAGATAAGCCATGGTTAAGTAGGAGAGGTAGTAGGGCTTTCGGTAGTTTCTAACATTGGGCAATACTCCTAAGACGTGTGTTCCACCGAAGATGTCGGCAAGCCATGACTAGTTTTAGTTGAGTTAAATTCAAGACGAGGATTTTCCTCTGCCCCAAACATGTCGGCAGTTCATAGCTGCCTACCACTAATCTCATTTTCTCGACCTTTGGAATCAGTCTCTTTTTTGTTTGTTTAGAGTTTTTAGCTCAATTTGGAAGCAACTATGACTGTTTCTTGCATCTCCGGTCTTCAGCTTTGTCTTGGGGGAAACTATGTCATATTCCAGCGATCTTCCTCGTATCCAGTAGTATCCCAGATTAATATTGTTTGTCTTTTAATAGGCTTTTGATGATGGCATCCAGAAACCAGATTCCTGAACGTGTTAGTCAATATCATAAGGATCAACTACACTAAACATCACTTAAAACAGTTAAAACACTAGTTTTAAAATTTATAAAATAGTCATTAATTTTATCAAAATATAATCAAACGGCCACTGCAATATTATAATACATGTAAAATTTTGATAAATTTAATAACTACCTTGTATCAGTTTAATATAATGCAATGATCATTTTTCAAAAATTTAATAAATTTAATGATTATTTAATAACTTTTAATTTAATGACCAAAATAGTCATTTGATTATAATTAAGTACCTTTTGTGCATTTTATCCATACTATTTTGGCTGCACCCTTTTGTCCGTTTCTGAGATACTGATAGAGCAACATAGAAAAATAAATATTTAATAATAAATTTTAAAATTCGAATTATCTCTCTATATCTAAAATTTTAAATATGTTTAATTTTATGATCTTCAATTTATTAGCTTCATTTTACTATTAAATGTTAAAAATTAAATTTTATATAAAAATAAAATAAAATAACAATAAAAATGATATAAATATGTAAATAATTGATAATATATATATATACACACTTTTTTTTTGGGTATATTGAGGGCTGCTTATGGCACATTTGCATCATCAAAGAGTCAAACTTGAGGGGAAGCAGAAAGGGCGACGCGTCCTAGAAGAGCAGAGCCAAAGGCCACTTGAAAGTCTGACCGTTGACCTTGCCTAACCGGTACTCTCCCAAAGTGGAGTGCGACTCGGTCTTGAACACTCCTGCTCACTGTCCCCCCCCCCCCCGACTCGGTCTTCCTTGAAAAAAGAAGAAGAAATTTTTTAAATCGAAGATTATAAGCAGTAGGACCAAGTCGATTCATCCATTTCTTCCTTCTTCTTGTATGGTTATTATAAAAATAATATTAGTTGTTTTTTCTATAATAAATATTACATCGATTGAATTTTCATCTATTTTAATTTCAATTTATCTTATCCAAAATCACACAAAAGTACCCTTTGGAATGAGTCTTTTCCCCCTCCAAATGATTGAAGTCCAGCTATAATGAAGAAAAATTAGTGCACCATTATCATTAATAAAATAAATTAAATGAATCTTCTTCAAATACGTTGGGAAAACGGGTCCAGATTTAAATTATAAAAAGAGAATTCTCATTTCCTTTTTGAGTTTATTATATTAAAATAATTTCATTTGCATGCAACAAAATGTATATTAATATTTTAATATATAGAATTTTTTGAAATTACAACGTATATAATTTGCTTATGTAACACAGCAAAATGCTGGGTTTATTAATGCTTTTTTTCTTATTATTATTTTTATATATTATAATATAAACCAATAACCAACAAACCACTTTAATTAAAGAAAATCCAACAAAACTCCATTACTAATTGTTATAGAACAACATTTTCATAAATTATTTTTTTATTGTCGCGTCAATATTTTTATAATAAAATCTGGTTGAAATAACAAAATCCCTTGACTAATCCAACTACTTATTGTTCTTATATCGAAAATTTACGCCATCCAAAATTACTGAAGATACATGTACATTATTTTTGAGTCAAATCATAAAATAATTACTAAATTATATATTAAAATGATTTTGATTAATAAGTTTTTAAATATTATAAAATGATTACAGTTTTTTTAAATGATTATTAAATTTAATAGAAAGATAGAAGTATTACCAGTAAAAAGCCATAATAATAGTTTTATCTTATAAAAGTTGAGAAAATAAAAGATTAATTAAAAAGACATAATGATAGTTTTATCTTATAAAAAGATAGAAGTAGAACAAAAGCGAAGAGGAGCTTGACTTTTTTGACCTATTTAAAAAGCAAAACAAAAAAGCTTATGTTGTAAAGCGTGTTGTCTTGTGAGGTTTTTTCAGACAGAACAATAAGAAAACTGAATTCCCGACATCCGTAATTCCAAACCAGAACTGCGTTCAAATCCCAACTTCGTTTTTTCCCCTCTTCTTTTTAAAACATTTTGTTTTTTGGATTTTCCTTCGAATGTTTCATTTTTGAATCATTTTGATTTATCTTTTGTTTTTAGAATGATTGAAAGCCATGCGTTGGCTTCAGAATATTTCATTTTCTTCTTCTTCTTCTTCTTCATCGTCGCCTTCTTCTTCCACCATCGCCTCCACGCCGGCAGTTTCTTCGGGGAAGCATTCTCAAGATAATAATAGCTATCAGAAGCGTAATCACAAGCAACGCCAGAGTTCCCGTCACAATTACTTGGGTTTTCGCATTGCCGGACCTAAGCTGACGCGTCTCAGCGACCGGGACCTGGTGGCGTCTCCTCCGTCCGCCATTTTTGATTCTTCATTGTCGTCGTCTCCGACGCCTACTTCGAGGATACAATCGTCGGCGACAGCGATGCCGTTGCCGCTTCCGCTTCCTGAAGGAGACGGCGAGCAAAGGTTGTCGTCGCCGACTGAGGTTGGACATAGTAGAGCTCTAGAGGATAGGGATAGAGAAAAAGCAGATGGAATCCCTTCCAATTCAAGGTGATTTTCCCCTCAATTAGTAGTTTTAATTAATATTAGCTTGACATTTTAAATAAGATATTGTAATTTTTGTCAAGGAGATTGATATTCAGTTATTCATTTTGGTAATTTTAGGAACATCTAGTGGATGATTGATTCATAATTGCAATGCTATTTAACTGATAATCTGAATGCTCAATCTGAAACTTCAAAACTTTTTCATTGATGGGTTTGTTATAGATAATTGATATCTTCATGCGTACTTTAGAGCCGCTATAGACATTCTGATAACTTCTTTTATGGATTCTGTTAATTGATGGATGTTTTCTCGTATGACAGTATGTTCGCTTATCGTAACTCGAGGAAGATGGTGGAGAATTGGGACATAAGATCGACCCCTAAGATGTTACATCAAGAAGTGAATCGAGGGGACAGTTCTAACGATGAGTTTAGGGTGAATGTTCCTATTAGGAATGCCCCTGCGAGTCCATTTAGTCCACACAGAATGAGTACCGGTGACATGTTTCCGAACTACATGGCTCCTCCTACAGGCAAACAAGTCTGGTCTGCACCAGAGATGCCGACATTAGATATGGCAGGATTTCCTCCCCCAGCATTCTATGATTTCACCATGTTTAGTACCGATAATACTCCTCTTCACAGTCCAAATATAAGTCCTAGTCGAACATATAGAAGCCAAAGTGGACCTCCTTCACCAAGACATCAGGAGCATTCGCATGAGTTCTCGTCATCCCGACCTGAAAGTAATTGCCCTATTGTCCATCCCTTACCTCTTCCACCCGGAGCAGCCCTGGTTTCAGCATCAGCTCCCATTCCCCAAGTTTCGTCTAAACCAGAACTGTTGCCGATGAATTGTCAATGGAAAAAAGGCAAGCTTATCGGGCGTGGTACATTTGGACACGTTTATGTTGCCAGTAATAGGTATGCAAGTTCTATATACATTTTGCTTCCTCTGCTCTTCCTATCTAAATGCTAAAATGGCTTCTTTCTGACAGAGAAACTGGAGCTTTATGTGCAATGAAGGAAGTTGAGATATTTCCCGATGATCCGAAATCTGCAGAGTCTATAAAGCAACTAGAGCAGGTTTTTCTTCACTCTAAAGAGAGAGGAGTGCAGATTAAATGATTACCGATTGCTGTTTCTTTCTTTTACCACCCTCCTTACTATTTTATTTTAATTGCAGGAGATTAAGGTTCTTAGCCAGCTTAAGCATCCAAACATAGTTCAGTATTATGGTAGTGAAACAGTAAGTAACATTTGAATCCCGCATTAAAGATTTCACCCCTTCTTCTTACTCCAATTATTATAACATGGAATTCTATTAAGGCATTTGAATTATGCATATGCAGGTTGAAGATAAGTTCTACATATATCTGGAATATGTCCATCCTGGTTCGATTAATAAATATGTTCGTGATCACTGTGGTGCCATAACAGAATCCATTGTCCGGAATTTCACTCGCCATATTCTTTCCGGGTTGGCTTACCTCCACAGCACGATGACAATCCACAGGTACAAAGCACTGTTTCCTGATTTCTGGTTTCAAGGGAGGAAGTGAACCTATTTTAGTAGTCTTGCGTGAATTATCGGCATTTTAACATGCTTTTTTACCTGTAATATTCAGAGATATTAAAGGGGCTAATTTGCTTGTTGACGCATCCGGAGTTGTCAAGCTTGCTGACTTTGGCATGTCCAAACATGTGAGTTTTATATCTTCCCCTTTTCTTCGGATAATGGTGTATTGTCTTCCATTACGCCCTGTTCCTCCTAGAAATCTTGCTTGAAGGTCTTTGTTAGTTGTCGGATTTATGATTCAGCTTGAATAATTTTGGATCTGTTTGTTGCTCAGCTTAGCGGACAAAGAGCTGATCTATCTTTGAAGGGAAGTCCATACTGGATGGCTCCAGAGGTACTACCTTGCAACATATCAATGTGTTTCCGTCTGTAGCTTATACGTACTGACATCATTTGTTTCACTGCAGCTTATGCAAGCCGTTATGCAGAAAGATAATAGTTCCGATCTTGCTCTAGCTGTTGATATTTGGAGTTTGGGTTGTACAATCATTGAAATGTTCACTGGTAAAGCACCATGGAGTGAGTATGAAGGGGTAAGCACCTGATGTATATTAATTCACTTTATTAATCTTTCCAAACATTGGAGAAAACCAAAACATGCCAACCTTTTCTCCTTGTTAATGTAGGCTGCGGCCATGTTTAAAGTGATGAAGGATACCCCTCCCATTCCCGAAACATTATCGTCCTTGGGGAAGGATTTCCTACGCTGTTGCTTCAGAAGAAATCCTGCAAAGAGACCGACTGCAAGCATGTTACTAGAGCACCGATTTGTAAAATGCTCCCCTCAGTCGGGTGCCTCATCTTCTAATGGGCTAAAGTCCACGGTAAATAAGATACTTCCCCTCATGTTGCCGGCTGACATCTAATCTTTTATTTACGAAATTTTTTAATATACAAACATGCAGGATATGCCCCTTAGTCCTAGAGAGCGATCTGAATTCAAACCGGATCAATTGCCTGTGCAGCAAAGCCTACGAACTTCGAAAACTGCAACTCCTGAGTGGTAAGAGTTAATTTTTGCATTGCCTTCGACTTATCCCATTTTCTTGGACTGTCGGCTCCAGCTTCAGGCATTATATCTTTTTCTCCAGGGAGACTACACAACGATCTCATTACCAGAGTCCCGAGTTAAGAGTGGCCACACGTAATTCTCCTTGTTCAACCCTTGAGACCCTTCCCAGCTTGTCTCCTCAAGGCTCGGGTCAAAGTTCCCATCACCCCAGCCCTTTTAGTAGAGCCATCAACCAGGAGTCTAAGAAGAGCCATATTCTCAGATGAGAAATCCAGAAAGGAAAACAGAACTCCGTACATTATTTTTCTAAGGTTTTCTGTGAATAAGGCAATGCTTCGAGCTTCGAGCTTCGAGCTTCGAGAACTACACCTCGGAGGATGCCGTTTTTAACTTGTGGCCATGGAGAGCTGAAGTAAGAGCTTCCGAGCTACCGGATCAACCGTCACCGAATCCAGACACAGGATATAAATAAGTAGGATTTAGTTTTTGGTAGAGTTATATTTTTTAGAACTTCCAAAAATAGAGTTAAGCCCCTTTTTTTCCTTCATGAGTCCAAAATACTTGAGTTTTAGAAGGCTAAAGCTAGCCATGTATACATAGCCTGATCTGGGTTGGCTCGGATCCTGCGTTGTATTGGCGAATTGTTACTCAAAGATTGGGCCATCTTGGTTTTTGTTTGTACTATATCCAAATCCAATGCAGTAACCAATTGTGTATAATAGTGCAAGTTTTTCTCTTTCAAGTTGAATAAAAGTTGGAATAATGTATGATATAAGTTGCGTAGAGTCTAGTTTACATTAATTTATCTATTTTAATGCTATATATTTTATTTAAAATTTAGAATTAATTATTATAAAGCGTGATTTAGATGAGATTGGTTTTCAAAATACATTCAAATAACCTTATTTAATAATAGTTTAGATTCCTTTCACTCTAATAACAAAATCCTAGGGATATAAAGAAATGACTGTTTGAAAATTTCTCACCAAAATCAGATGTGCAACACAAGAGTAATCAGATAGAACCCTAAACCCATGAAAGAGAATAATTACAGACACACAAATTAAATAACCAAGTTATTTGTTAATGTAAGAGGAAGGAATATGTGTCTGGTCTTCCACCGTTGGATCGATTCAATGGCTGGGATTTAAGCCTTTCACCTTTTCAAGTAGTGATGAATCCACACCTTCAATTCAGACTTGGTTTTCCGTCCTTTTCAACTCTGAGCTAATAGCAATCACGTGAACAGGTAAACCCACATTCTACCGTCATTGTTCTGGCTTTCTCTTTTGGTTTCTGCTTTCCACATAAAGTCCCCAAGATTAAGACGCTGTAGAAAAACGCAGAATTCCCTGACAAAATCATCATCTGCTCACACGAAGAAAAATGGAACCACCTGCAGCACAATCCATAGAGACTTCCACCAAGAGTTTCCAGGTTGAAGAAGATGAACAAGACAGTTGTTGATGAATGGTACATACCCTTTTACTCTTTTTAGTTTTGCTTTTGTAATTTAATTATACTTGTTTGATCCTCTCTGGATTTGTTTTCTGCTGTTATGACTGCACCGACAACATCTTTGATTACTTGTGCTGTTACAATCTTTGTTAGAATATGATTTCAGAAATCATATAGGATATATTCTTCCTTTTCAAAGGATCTAATTTGATGTTTCAAAAGAGTATCTTAGGAATATCTGAAACTTTTGTTTCACTGAGTCCAGCCTTCGATTGTCGTAAAAAACTTCAGTCGATAGAAAAGATTCAATCATTGCATTTGTTAGTTTTTTTAATCTGTATTTAATATTGATATATACTTTTAAAAATACTTGAACAAGCAACCTTCGACATACGCCAACATACGCCAAGGTAACAATCGTATGCACATGCAACAAGATGCATGCATACGAATGTATGTATACGGTGGATTAGACCTTTCTAATATAAAGAAAGAAATGAACTTTAGTGATGTGAGACATGTAATATTTATCAAAATTATTTATCATTACCCATCTTGATTGATAGAACTTGGTTGAGATTTGTTCATGAGGGTTTGTGGACCCTTTACAAAGAAACTATCAGAGTTATTCTCTGTAATAATGCTGGAATTCACTGCAACATCATCCCTTGAACTACCCCTCAAATGGAGTCCAGAAAAATGGTCACCCCAAATATCATAAGTATATTCGTCTCCAATTATACCCTTTCTTTCTGCTTTTAAACTTTTCTGGTTAGAGAGTTCGGACCCCGGAGCTTGAGCACAAGGAGCAATCACAGATGTTGAAGCCAAAGGAGAAGAGGAGCTCGGCATACTAGCACTCGGAAAAGTAGCGGAGTGCGAGAGAACTGGTTTTGAAACAACTTCCCTCGGTATTACCTGCTCTTGTGCAGGAGAATACCAGTTGCTGCTACTATGCTCCATGGAAACTTTAGCTCCCAATACATTTGCTTTGGAGATGGGATGAGGAGCTTTACCCTTCTCACGGATTTGGTTGGCCAAATGCGTAAAAGGATTTCTAGACCCCACAGAATGCTCCACATCAGAAGGGAGTGGCCATGTTCGATTCGGTGTTACAGATGTTATCGGGGAGAGGGGGGATGAAGGTGTGGAGTTTCCACTTTGACTACTTGAAACTTCAATCAAATCTTTAAATCCACCTTTCCTTTTCCTTTTCCTTCGCCTTCTTCTCTTTTCTTTCCCAATCCGAATAGTAAGATTACCAGTTTGAGGTGCTTCCTTTGGATCAGGATTTTCAGCCACCACAGATTTTGAGGGCAAAGATGACAATGAAACTTCCCTCCGAGGTTCTAAGAAACTGTTAACATCCCTATCATTTGCAGAAGTTAGTTTTGCATTCTGATTAGTTAACCGCTCTTCGTTTCCCCTAACATGGCCATCTGGGAATCTACCATGAGATGGCTCCTTCAAAGATTTAGTATCCTCAACTGAACTTAACAAACTGTCCATTGCAGCTGACATAGAGAACTTACCGTTTCTCTGATTGCAATTGACGAAAGAAGATTCTCCTCCAGCCTGGATTGTACTGATCCGGTTCTTCTCACTCTTGTAAAAGTAATATTGGGAACCCATGGTCATTGCTTGGTGAAAAATGAAACAGAATATGAGAAACAATGAAGCAGAGACAAGAATCGCGCAACAGAGTCTCTTTAGCCGCATCCAGAACACTGATTTCCTACAAAGATTAAGCATATGCAGAGGCAGCGTTGCTTTCATGGGTATGACAAATATGCCTGTAGCCGAAGCCAGTTCAAGATCTCTATGTACCAAAGCTGCTGAAAAATCCGGCTGGTATGATATCAAAAGCTTTGTTGACTCTCCAGGTTCAAGAAAGAAACCTTTACAACTATGCACTGTAAAACCATCAACTACACCCTCTGTCCCAGAAACCTCAATGCTTCTTACCTCAAGTGGCAAATCTCCGGTATTCTTGGCATAAAGCTCTTTTGATAATGGCCGAGAACATGCATAAGTAGTCTCTTCAATGTGAAAAAACATTTGTGGAGAAGAGATGTTTAGAGAAGTTGGCAAACTAAGGTTAAATTCTACACTCTCGATGGGCGCTGAACCCTCAAACAAGACTAGAGCAATAGACCCACCATATCCCCTCAAAGATAACCACTCAACACCAGAAAGGTTGTTCCTTATCAGTGCAGAACTTGTCCACCCACATCGATTTGAAGGGTGAAACAATATCGGCCCAAAAGATGCTCTATCATTAGGATGAACAAAGGCCTCTATCGTTGCATTCTCACCAATGGAGAACCCATGTCTCATTGGTATTGTAGATGAATTGTGAGCCAAGCTACCAGAAGGGGGCATCGTAAACACATCTTCGCTCCTACATTCATCAACGATTTCTCCCGAGTTAAGAATGAGCTGCATTACAACTGGCTGTGTGCTAGGATTTTTCACAGTGATCCACTTGGAGCATTGACTACCAACTTGAACCATTGGAAACAGAACCTCGTGATCCCCAAGCACTGACATGCCACCTGTGGTACCCTGAGATTTCCAGTTGCCAAGTACCAATTCATCCACTTCTGCTGTCTGCAATACCAACATATAGTCAGTTGGATGACCTTAGTTATATCCTGAACATTGATCTAGTATAACTAATCACTATTTCAATAATGAGACCTTAAGCATGAACTAAGGGAGCGAGAGAGATTATAGAAGTGTGGTAGGGTGAGACAGATGTTTACATGCATGATAATAAACATATACAGACAATAAACAATTCCAAATGGTCCAAGAAGCAATCCTCATTTAACAGGTAGGTAAGAATATTATGATCTTACTTATATTCCTAATAAAGAAGCGATCCTGATATATATCATAGCTGCACAATGTAATGTTCTACAACATATGCAAAATATTAGAGAGTTTTAAGAGAATAAAAGAGGAATGGAGCATCAATCACCAGAATAATAAACATATAGAAAGAAGAAACAATTTTGATGGTTCAAATTATGTCATTGTATCTAAAATAAGCAAACCTGTGCCCGAAAAGCTAGTTGCATGCCCTCACTCAAGGATCCTGTCCTTGTGTTGCCAGTTTTAACCTTATAAGACTGATGTTCATTTGCCATGGATAAATTTTTCTGATATTCCACACAAATATGGATTATATCCTCACAAGGGACATCAATCTGAGGGCTAATAGACTCATTTGTCATTAAATGCAATTTACAATTGTTGATCATACTGGATACTTCAGAAGAAGAATCAGGAATTTCAACCGGTAGTTCAGTGCAAGCAATTGCAGCAATCTGTGTAACAGCACTCGGGTAGAGCAGCAACCCTTCCATGTATTTGATATGGAAAACTTTGGCATCTGCATCTTCATCAATCTTAATAAAACTCAGCACATAAGGAGCAGAATTTTTCAAAGAAATGGCAACAGAAACAGTTTCACTGCCATCATACGGCACCAGAGCTTCAAGAGAAACTGAAAGAGAACTTGCAGGGTCATCATAGGATGTTTTCCTACCCAAATCAACTTCAAGAGGAACCATAACTATATCAGGCAAGTCTTGAGAAGACCTCTGCAACTGCATGCAGAAAGCACCAAAGACTTTTCCTTTTGACTCGAGAGATAAATCAATCTCTATGATGGTCTCACTGCTTTGAGGATTAATCTCCCACTTCCTGCTTGGCCTCATAAACATAAGTGGAAGATCATATTTACCACTGTTCATGACCAACCAATCTTCAGCACCAAGTGAGATTTCCCCATTATTACCCTTGAAGTTTTCTATACTACAAACAGCTTCAGTATGATGGGTAGAGTTCCCAAGAGAAACTGACATCCATGAAGTTAATTCTTCCACATAGAGGGTTTCATCAAAAGGATTGAACAAAGAAAAGTTCTTACTCAACTGCCCACTAGAAGGAATATCCAGGCTCACTAATGGTTGAATTTCATAAGGGGACTCGACAGCGAACCCCTTAGCCTGAACCAGGAAACCACCAGAGCTTGTCTGCAAGATAAGGTGAGCTGATGACAAGCCCACCCATCTAGGTAAAAAAACAAAACATATAGAAGCTACTTCACCAGGTCCAAGCAAAATCTCACTAAAATTGCAGGGATAGAACTGTTTATTGGTACTGAATGGTTCATGAATGCTTAAACCGCTATTGTTGCATTTATTTGCTACTGTCAAGTAAGCCACTGATGGGAAAAATAAAAATTTCCGGCCCCAATCCAATATAGGAGGATTTATCTCTACATTAGGTGAAGATAAACCGTCAAAAGAACCTAATTTTGTCACCTCTTTGTTCTTTTTCATCCTAATACTTCTACTCTTCTGACTTAGTAAAGGTTGTCTACATGAAGAAATATCATTTTGATTAGCAACATCGGTATGAATTGACAAAAACTCATGGGTACCGTCACTTGAATATAAAGAACATGAAACTGTCTGGTCATTTAATAATTTAAACATACCATGGTTAGACAACCAACTTCTGCTACTTGCCTGCCTCCTAAGGTTACTTTGTTCTAAATAAGATGAAACACTATCAGACTGGGCCCTAGAAACTTCTAAACCACCTACTTCAATTGAGGTTTCTTCAGTAAAAAATCCAGGCAATGTAGAAGGAAAACAGAACAAATAAGAATTGGTGCACACACTCTCAGCACTTAAGCGTGTCACAGAAGTTCCTGCATCATAGCCCGGATGTGAATCACTGATAATAGTTCCTTGAAAATCAACATATTGAGTATCTCCATATTTTTCACACCCCTCGAGTTCGTCTGTTTTTGGCATCCCATTCACAGCACATGGTTCACACGTAATTAAGCAAAAAAGGGTACATGACAGAACCAAGAAAAATTGAAATGCTTTAACGGGTTGAAACATTTCCCTGAAAACAAACCACGAAGTAAAATGCTTAGTACAAAAAAAAAAAAGAAAATAAAAAATGTCTTCAGAGATTAATAAAATACGCCGGCAGAGCTGCATGTCTAATTTATATATTTATAGAAAACACCATAGAAGCACTTTCATTTCATCAGCAAATTCCATCCTGTTCAGCTTAAAACAAGTTCGAAGAAGAAAACGAAAACTTGGAAAGAAATTAAAAGATTATATACATCAAAAAGCTCTCAATACAGTTTAAAGTAGTTTAAAAAAAAGTCTTAATCACCATAACAACACGTTTTAGTTAATTTAATAAAAATCTTCAGCTAAAGATAGACAGTAAGTACCGTCTTTTAACCAAATAAGCAAATCAGAAGTTCAAAAAGCTTTTTTTTTTTAAAAAAAAAGCAATGTAGTACTCGAAGTTCTAAAAGAAATAAGCAATATAACTGATAAGAGAATTAGAATCGGCTGTACTGGAAAGATTGAAAGCGCGAGAAAATGGGAAGGGCAGTTCGAGAGTGATTTAAAATCAAAAGTTACCGATGAGAGTTGAACATGGAGAGCAGCTGTTTTCCAGCTTCGATGATCGTTAGGGTTTTGGACTCCATTTTTTAGCAAAGAAGAAAATCATCTGAAAAGAAAAACTCGGCAGAAATTTTAGGGAATTTTTTCCCTCAATTTCAAGGCCAGCCAGAAAAATATATATATAAAGCTCAGAACAGAAGCACGCCGGAGAAAAATAAAAGACTCCAAATTACCGTATTGCCCAGCAGATCCAAGTCCTTCAAACGTCGTCGTGGAGATGATTCTCATTAGATTCTCGAGATAGAAAGGGATAATTGAATACAAGCCATAAAAAACATATGGATAAACAACATTGAAGGTCACTAAACTATAGGATTGATTCTAATTTAACTAAAATAAATTTTTTTATCAATTAGATCATTAAAATTCAATTTGATTTCCGTTAAGTCATCAACTATTAACTCTAAATAAAATTATTGACGTAATAACTAATTAAATTATATAATAATACATTTAGTTTTTATTATTTATACATCCTATCAGTTAAATTTTAATTTTAATTAAAAATAATCCAATCCAATTCAATTTATTTGTTATCATATAAATTTATTTAACTTCCACGATAAGAATTTCATTAATAAATAAGAATCCATTATTAGATTAAAATTATATTACAATTTTAATGATCTAATTAATTTTTTCTATAATTAAAATAAAATCAATCTTGTAATTTAATATTTTTTGAAATAGTTTATCTAAAATATTTAAATACAATTTTAACAACAACAAAAAATAAAAATATTTATGGGTGAAATTGGAATTTAAGGCTACAGCAGTTGAAATAAAGTTTTATTGGGGAATTCTAAGACATTAGGTTTTGAAAAAAGAGCATAATAATAAAATCATAGTAATCAATAAAGGCCGGACCTCAAATGCACGTTAACTTGACCAAAGTAATATTTTTTTTGTATATGAATTGTCTATTTTACCATTTGTTCATTTTTGCTTGCACCGAACGGCGGGTTGCCAGTTAGGATCTATTGCAGTTGTTGAGCGAGCGCAAAAAAGGAAAATTGCACGTTTGGGGTGCGAGTGCGGTCAGGAGGCTCGTCATTCAAGGTCATAGCCTAGTGTTTTGGTCCATTGTTGTCCTCGCCTGTCGCCTCGTCTAGACTCGAAGTCCACTTGGGCAATTTTGAGAATTTGGAGAATGTTACTTTTGTAGAGAGATTCGGTGAAAATAGATTAAAGAAAATATAAGACCAAGGTAGTTCCTTAATGTCTAAGAATAGAAATTTAAGGTAAACTATTTAACCCGAAAAGATTTAAAATAAAATTTAAATAATAAAATATAGAATAAATTGTATAAATAATCTTTAATGTTTGAATAAATTTTTATTTTTACAATTAATATATTAAAGATAACGATTTGATTACTGAAGATAATTCTCAAACCACATTGCCAACCATTCACAAACCACGTTTTCACTATTGCTAATAACGGCTAACTAAAGCAAAAGGAATAATCTAACGGAGAATCATTTACAAACGGCAAGTGTCAGACAAATTGGCGGCTCTGTCAGAATCCCCTGAATTCTTTCTACCTGTCAGCGTAATCTACGCCTATTGCTTTGACAAAGTAACCGAGCATCCTCCACCGCTGGCTTCTGCAACTTTGTCTTCTGCCTGGCCGATCATGATTCGACTGTGGACGGTAGGTAGAATCAAAAAGTAGTTGTCCTAGACAAAAAAAAAATTCAAGGCTTTGATGAAAAACTGGACGGCTGGAGATTCAAGAGTGGACCCCATTTTCCAGTGGGTAGGTTACCGTAAAAAAATGAATTAAAAAAGAAGAGAAAATGTACATTGGATGGCTTATATATCTTCAGTCTTCACAATAGAAATCGATATATATTATTACTATGATTAAACGAAAACATTGCAATGAGTACAGTAGATGGCATTATGAAAGAGACACATGCATAAAAAATAACTACTAGACACTAGTAGTTACAAACACCAAAGCAGCAGGAGCAATTATTTTTCTTACAGCTGAACTCGAATCTCTGTTTTAAAAACTTAGGAGTAGGGCTCATGCATTTCCTACGTGAATTACTAATAGAAAAAACTAGTCGTTTTTCTCACAAACAATCTTGTTTACAAAAGCATGACCTACACCAGGACTGTGCCCTGGACTTGTACGTTTGAAATCTTGTGATGAATGCTTGCCACTAATGGAGCTAGAACTTCCCGGTCTTCCTTCGTCATCATCTCCGTCATCTTCTTCGAAAGCATGACTTATACCAGGGGTGTTCCCCGGTGAATATGGGTGAAAAATCATCTTCGAAACGTGAGGTTTTAGCTGGTGTAGAGGGAGGGAATACTTGTTCAACATTCAGTCCGCGGTAATGATCATCTTTGTCTCCGATGATCACTGATTCATTTGTCTTCCATTGACATAGAAAACCAAATGGCTGCAAACAATCACCGCAAGAACAAAGACAGCATATTTGTGCATGGGGCTAAATTCCATGATTAAGTAGGAAAATAACTTTGAATTCAATCAAAGAAGGAAATTAAGTAAACACAAATGAAGTACTGAGTTCACTGCGCTTCAATGGTATTTATAATTCAAGGAATTAAACTGTTCATAAACATGAATCAGCGGGGCAGCATTAATTGCAATAATCAAGTACAGGAAATGTAGTTAAAATGTTAAGCTATATCCTTGACCTTTGATAGTGCTGAAATGTTACTTTGTGGCTTGAATTAATCGAGGCACTGCAGTCTAATTAATTAACAATTTGTTTGATAAAATAAGATTACAAGATGATTAACCGTGCAGGCTTAGAAACCCTAGAGATTGCAATGTTCGAGACCCATCACAGGAAAAGAAAAAGATAAGGATTCTCGTGTACTTCTCCACTATGCAAATGCATAATTATTACTATTATTATATACTGATATGGCTGTTGTGAAATGCTTATAAATTCTTATTTTTTTGTCGACAAATACAAGTGAATCACACATCTGTCCTGTACCCCCATTGTTTAAGGTTGTACAGCAACTTGCAGAGTATGATCATTTGGTTTATTCGGTTCTATCGTTAAAAAATAATATGGTTAACTGATTAAATTGATCGAACAGATTTGAATTATGTCGGTTTAATTAAGTTATTTTATCTATTCAAGCAGGTTGGTTTAGGTGAACTATGCGAGTAGGAATCAGGTGTTAAAAAAATTAGTCAAAATGCATATACATTTGTTTTTCAAATAAACGAGCAACTTGCGATTTTATTTGAATGAAAACGTACAGAGTTTTGATTTCTATCGGGAAAAGCAACCAATATACACCTCATCATATTGATTAATTAAACCCAAAGCAAAAGGGATTCAAAGTTAATTTCTCAATATATATATATAAATACATAAATGAGAATAGAGGTTACGCGAAAATGTCATTTAAATTTTAAATGTTTTAACTCTATTTCAGATTAAATGTAACAATTTACCTATTTATTTAACAAAAATAAAATAATTTTTTTATATTTGATTATTTATATTGATAATAGAGTTTTAATCGAAGATTTTTGAGCAAATTAGCTCTAAATTATAAGGTTGATTCTATTTTAATCATTAATTTATCGTCCGCCTTATTCTCGAATGAGTAAATAATGTAATGGCTTTCACCTCCTTTCTATTCAAAAAATTAAATTAAATTTAATAATTTTATCATCTTTTTATGTTTATATATGTGTAAATACGAGGGATTAAATGTATGAAACATATCACATATCACTTAAATAAATAATTTATATTTCATTTATATCATATAGACACACACATATACTTTTAAAGGACAAGATTAATATTTTCTTAGTTTAAATATTGTATCGAATGCAAAATTAATTCAGAATTCACATTGATTTTTTAAGGTTTAACAACAACAACAACAACAAAACCCTATTTCCATATGTGATGGGGTAAGGGGGAGGTAGGGTAGTAGGCTGTCCCCTAACGCCAGGTTGAGAGCAGCTTCCGTGGAAGACCTCCGGCAGTCAAAAAATTAAAAATAAAGATAAAATACAATGCATGTTTAAATAAATAAATAAAATACGTAGTTGGACAATCTTCATATGCAGTCTTCATATGCATGTCTGTAATGGGAAGTAATCCCTGCAAATACACCCCTGCGTAAAAACAGTGAACACACTATAGTGATGATGTTTAGATAAAGAAAACTGGGCTCTATTTAGCTTCCACTAAAGGAAAATAACAAAGTATGAGGGATCATAATGGATGGTTCATACGACAGTCAATATTTGACCAAATATCAATGTCATAAGTTGATTTTGATTTCAAATCTTGCCTTTTTACCTTCATAAATGCAAAATTAATTCTACACTAGTTTTTTCTTCTAGTTTTCTGATTGATAAGTTGTTCAATTTTTTTTTGTCTTTGTTGATCGACAGTGACACTAATTTTAATGTTGGTTGTCGACCGTCAGTATTTTTTATTGTCCTTTTCCCCCCCAATAAGTCTGCTTGTATGACACATTTTCCTTTGTCTTTATGACACATTTTCTTCTATCTTTTGGCACATTTTTTGCCCGTTTGATCGTTGTTTTCTTTTATATTTTTCTAAGGGTTGATTAGATATCGCTACGACTGATCAAGATGATGTTTATCTGTTATATTGTTGATCTTCCTTGCTTTGAACTCTTAGATTGGATTTGATACCCGTTATGCATTTGTTGATAGCTTTTCAAGTCGCTCAAGTTTGATTTGTGGATTGTCGATGATCTTTCAATAGCTTGATCACCTTTTGTGGTTCGTTTGCCGATGTGATCCGATCTATTTGTTTGTATCTTTATTCGATTTTCTTGGTTAGATTTTAATCTTTCCTTGTATAGTCCTTATGCGATCTTAAGTTGCTAGTTTTGTTTCAATGATTATAGGAAATTATCCTAATTATGTGATTAATTTATTATTATAATTGCAAATTTTTATTGTAATTTAAGATATTTTGAATGAAATTATTGATTTCTTTAAAAAAATTGACCCTTCGATGCTATCTTTATGGATTTTGAACCATACTACTAGCTAGTTATTCATATTAAATATAATAAATAATATGGCTTTTGAACC